ACAATATCTTGCTAAGTTGCCTTAGTTGGACTCAATCTTAGGATCCTCTTGTCTCAGCCTCCCAAAGTGCTAATACTTAAGGTATGTACCACCACACCTGGGTAGTGATCAGTGGATTTTTAAATATTTAAGTTTTCTAAACTGATACGTAAAAACAGAAAAATTGTACCTACTTGTAGGGTAATGTGGTGTTTCAGCACATGTATCCATTGTATAATGTTTAAATCAGGGTAAACATGTCCTTAAAGCATGGATTTTTTTTTTAGAAGTATGTTGTTTAATTTCAAAATTATTAGACATTTCCCAGGTATCTTTCTGTTACTGATTTCTTTTGGTTTTTTGAGACAGGGTCTCACTATGTAGTTCAGACTGCTCTGGAACTTACTGTGTAGCCCAGGCTGGTCTCGAACTTGCAGTGATCCTCCTGCCTCAGCCTCCCAAGTGCTGGGATTACAGGTGTGCGCCACTATGCCCAGCTCTGTCACTGATTTCTAGTTGATTTCCATTATGGTTAGATATGCTTTGTATAGTTTTTTTTTGTTTTTTGTTTTTGTTTTGTTTTGGGTTTTTTTGTTCCAGTTATTGAACTCACACTTTTGAGGCAGGTTATGAAAACACTGAACTAAATTTCTGGTCCTTTATAATTTTAATTATTTTAAATTTGCTTTATTAGGCTGGAGGTATAGCTCAGAGATAGAATACATGCTTAGCATGTGTAAAACCCTGAATTTAATCCCCAGCACCCTACACAATTTTTTGGTTAAATTTTGTTTATATTTATGTATTGTTTGCCATATGGTCTCTATTGAAGAGTGTTCTGTGTGTATTTTAAAGGAATGTATGTGCTTCTATTGTTGGGTGGAGTTTCTATTAATGGCAGATTGTGTTAGTTAATAGTTCAATTCAGGCTGTCTGTGTTTCTGATTTTTTTTTGTCACCATATTATATCAATTACTGAGAAAGATATTGAAATCTTTAAGTATAATTCTTCATGTATTTATTTGGGGTGGTGTTGTTTGAGACAGGGTCTTGCTCTGTATTTCTGGGTACTTGAATTCACTATATAGCCCAGGCTGGCCTCAAACCTGTGGCTGTCCTCCTCCTCCTCCTCCTCTGCCTCCCAGTGATCGGATTACAGGTGTGCCACCACACCCAGCTTGTGGATTTGTTTTCAATACATGTTTGTACTACGTAACTATTGCATTCTTCATGAGAAGTTGATATGTGTACATGACATATCTTAATTCCTTTGTTTTTTACCCCCCCACCCCCACCTTTTGGTTCCCTTTCCATATTCAGAAGCTTCATCTCTTTCTTATTTTCTTTTATTTTGCTCTTTATTTATACTTTGGGTTTCTCATATAAGAGAAATCATGTGATATTTAAGCTTGTGTGTCTGATTTATTTCACTTAAAATTATGGTCTCAAGGTGCATTCCTACACATGACTCAAATTTCTTCTTTATGGCAGACTAGTACTCCACTGTATACTTTCCAGTTTTTTCTTTTTTTTTTTTTTTTTTTTTTTTTTTTTTGGTACTGGAGATTGAACTTGGGCCCTTTGCACTTGCAAGGCAGGCGGCAGAACCATTGAACCAAATCCCCAGCCCTTTCCAGCCTTCTTAACCCTGGCTTATTTTTGTCTCCTGATCAGTGTAAGGGATCTTCCAGTGATGAACCAGGGTGGTTTTCTTATTCTGTATTATTTTTAATATTTTGCTTATGAGTTAAATGTATCAACATTTGCATTTAAAACTAGCACCATATAATATTTGTGCCTGGGAGAGAATCCACAGATTGTTTCAATCTTTTCTCTACATTGTAGATGGTCTCTCCAACATCTTTTATCTTATAATTTTCCTGTCAGTTCTTTCCTGATTATCCACCTCTCTTTCCCTCCCCCAATTTCCCCTTTTCTTTATCAAGTTATTTTCCAGTATCTGGATAACAACATAGATGAACCTTGACATTATACTAAGTGAAATAAGCTAGTCACAAAAATACATCTCATAAAAACAAAATGCAGTGATAATCACCTTTTCCAGGAGATAATATTGTACATGCCAGTCTACTTTGTGAGTTGACTTGCTTACAGTTGTATTACATGCAGTTTTGTTAACTGTATTGGTTGCATTTATCAAGCATGTAAGTGGTCACTGGCTGAAAATGCAGGAATGGTCATTGGATGTCACAGCAGATGTACATGTAGGAAGAGCGAAGCGCTGGACCCAGGAGACCAGTGACCTAGCCTTGTTTTGGAGGCTGGATCCCTCCACACCTGGCTGTCCTGTGTTTCTTGCACCTGGGCAGGGCATCATGGCTGAATAAGAAGAGACTGAGCAGAGTTTAACTGGGAAGAGGGAAGCAACCTATGGAGATGGGGTGTGGAATACCCAGGTGTATCCATTTGCCTAAATCATATAGTTGGATTTGTGCCTTAAATTATGTAATTTTTAAATTATTTACTTATTTATTTTTAAGACAGGGTCTCACTATGTAGTTCAGACTGGCCCTGAACTATGTAGCCCAGCCTAGCCTCGAACTTGCAAAGATCCTTCTGCCTCTGCATCCTGAGTGCTGGGATTTCAAGCATGCACCACCACACCCAGCTCAAATTATGTAAATTTTACCTTAAAGAAAAGAGTTAAAAAGAACCATTGAGGGCTGGGGATTTAGCTCAGTGGTTCCACCGCCTGCCTCCTGCCTTTGAGCCCTGTATCACAAAGAAAAAAAAAAAAAAAAAAAACATTTGAGAGGTGAATAGGCAGAGGTGGAGCTGAAACCAAAAGGTACTTTCTGAAGCGGGGTGATGAGTACATGGAGGTTCATTATACTGTTCTCTGCACTGTGGATATATGCATTTGAAGCTTTCTGTAAAGGCTTTTGAAACCTCACCGTGTATGTCTTTGATAAAGTACTGTATTCATTTTGTAAGTTACTGCATTGTTTCAAGGAAAACATTCATGTAGTCCAATGTAATTTTGGCAGTTTGCCCACTTATTTCCATTGCCAAAGGCAGTGACTTAAATATGAATTCCTGCTTCAGTTGATGAAGTTGAGAAATGTGTGTGGTTTCTCCCAGGCTGTGCTCTTGCCCCCAGTCTGGTCTTTACGCCATCACTAAGAGGGATCATAAGTACACTTATCTCAGGAGCGCCACCCATTGCAGTTCAAGTAAAGTGCACATTTCCTCATGGCCTGCATCCCGGCCCCCACACTTTAGATGGTTACACTTGTCTGATTCTCCTATTGACTCCCCTGACCAGTGCGGGTCAGCGCAGGTGGCTTTCTTTTGCACACTTTGGCTCACTCCTACATCAAGGCCTTTGTGTGTGCTGCCCTCATGAGACTGGCTTCTCATCATTCAGTGAGGGTTGGATTTGACGTGGTTTCTGAGTAGGGCCTTCCCTGCCCTCTAACTAGACCAGCTTCCTCCCTGTCTGTCTGTCTAGAGCAGCTGGCCTCAGTGTAGCACACAGAACATAGTCACAGTGTCACCAGGAACATTTTCTGTTTTATACTTTTGGGGGGAAGTGCAGAGTCTTAGACCCACTGAACCAAGACCTACATAGGTGACTACACTTGAACATGTGCAGAAGTGGGGGTCTGGTGTTGTGGCTTCCCCTGGCTGGTTTTCTGTGTAAACTGTAGGTTTGTCTGTTCCTAAAGGTCATTCAGCCACTTGTTTTTTCCTTGCCTAACTAGAATGTAAGCTCCACAAGGGTAGCACATCCTGTGTCTGGCGTGTTCACACGTGGATTCCCAGCGTTGTGCAGATTCTGCACTTGTTGTAGAGTCATTGTGCATTGAATGAGTGAGAAGATAAATGAGTACAGTGGAAACCTTCATGTTCTTTGAACTGTAGCACTCTATACAATAAAAGTCTTCACAGCTCCACTTGGTTGTAAAATTGTATTCTTACCTTTCAACATTATCATAAAGGGTTTTGAATCTTTTTCTTGGCTATAAATACTATTAAACCTGTGTGACTAATACAGGTCCTTTATCCTCTTTTTCAGGCAGTGTGTCTTCAGAACCCGAGTTGAGGTTTTATTAGAGTGCATCTCTACTAACAACATCATAACTATTTGTTTTCTTTTGGGTATTTAAAAAGTACTCCCATTCAGAGTTAAATAATCTTCAGAGCTTTTCATTGAAAATAAATATTAGTTTGATATCAAGCTTCATTAAATCAATTTAATAGTCCTTTTTTAAAGCAAGAAAGTAGGATTCTCAAAATGTTAAGTTAAATGGAAGATTTCCTGTTAAACATTTATAAGAGCATATGATATATCACATTTTTATTTGAGATGTTTCTTGGAAAGAGCTACAGTTTCTGATACTGTCCTACATATCCTGTTCCAAAGATATGTTCCTTCATGCATAGACTGGTGAAATTTCCAGGAAACAACTTATCAGTCTGAGTACTTTGAATGAAGTCACTGGACAGCTTACACTGATAGCTTTCAACCCCCAGGAACTTTTGGTCATGGCTGAAGGCATTTTTGGTACTCACAGCTGTGGCAGAGGAGTACTATTAACATCTAGTATTTAGATAGGCTAGGGATGCTCTTGACACTCTGTAATGCACACACACACACACACACACACACACAATAATTTGGCAGAATAGGTTAGTGGTGCCTCTAAGAGAGCTTGGCTTGAGAGGCTGCCTGCAAATGCTAAAGCATCAGAACAAGAACACTTTGTGTTGCCTTCAGGAAAAGAGAATGTATAGAAAAGGGCCACTTGTAGAGGTTCAGATGGGTATATTAGCTGTTTTACATATGTTTATATTAGATTGTTGTTTTTAATCAGCTGTGATATAGAAATCTAATGATTGGTTTCTTTGTGGGTCAACAGTTTGTTAGAACAAAAGATTTTTAAGAAATTTGGCAATTTAGTTGACTTTAGAATTGGATAACATTCTCAAATAATTTTACATTTTTAAAAATAGGGAATCATTAAAATATAGGGTTACTGGTTTTCCTTATTTTACAGATGGGGTCGAGGATTTGGTCTTTTGGGTTCCATTTTTGGAAAGGATGGTGTATTAAACCAGCCAAACAGTGTCTTTGGACTTATATTTTATATACTACAATTATTACTTGGTAAGTATTTATTTAGCAATACAAAGATAAATTTGTTATATTCCATGAGTACTTTGTGACTTTACTCTAAAGTGTATATTAAATACAGACATGTTAATTAATTTAGAACCATTAGTTTGTAGCATATTTTTATGTTGTGAAAACATGATGCACTAAAATTTTTATGATGATAATGTTGAAGTTGGTATCAGCTGATGTTTAATCATGGATAGTGTCACCTCATAATGTCCAGGAAAGGCAGTCCGAACAAGGAAACTGCTACTCGAAATAATCTCTGCAAACTTTTTTTTCTTACTGTAGACTCTATAGCTATTTTAAAATATCATATATTAAGGAAACATTAATAGTAAACCATATTCATAATTCCACCACCTTTACATATCCACTATTTCCTTTGTCTTCTACCTTTTTTTAAAACAATACTGGTGATCAAAACTAGGACCTACTGAGCTACATTCTTAGCCCTGTGTTGTTTTTTAAAATACAATTATGTGAGCTCTTATTTTTAATGTGGTATTGTCTTCATAAGTATTTTGTTACTGTTGGCATCTATAACTCACATTTTTTATTTTATAGATAATGCTGCAGTGATCAGTTTTGCTTAAAGCCAACCCTCCTCTTCCTCCTTCCTCTCAGAATTATTTTCACAAAATAAATTTCCAGGCAGGAGGTTACTGAATCAAAAAGCATAGAAGTGTGTGTGTATGTGTGTGTGTATGTGTTTTGTTTTGTTTTTTTTGGTACTGGGGATCAAACTCGGGACCTTGCGCTTGCGAGGCGGGCAGCAGAACCACTGAACTAACTCCCTGGCCCTGTGTGTACATGTTTTATTTTGTTTTGCTTTGATGGTACCAGGGATTGAGGCCATGACATTGTCACTGAGCTACGTCCCCAGCTCTTTTTTATTTTTTATTTTGAGACAGAATCTTACTGAGTTGCCCAGGCTGAGTTCTAACTTGTGATCCTCCTGCTTCAGCCTCCCAGAATGCTGGCATTATAGGGATGCACTATCATACCTGGCTTCTTTATGGATTTTTAATCAACATTACCAAATTGCTTTCTCCCTAGTTGTCTAGTTATCCTGAAACTTCATCCAGTCTTCTTTTTTGATACTGGGGATCAAACTCAGGACTTTGTGTTTGCAACCAGTCTTCATTTTTAAAATGTAGTCTATAAAATTTCTAATAGTTACATATTAGTAGCCATTATTTTAATTCTACTACATTTTAATTTCCATGTATTGTTTTAGTCATTGGGATCCTAATCCATTCTCATTTGTTGCAAATATTTTACCCATTCTTTATACTTACATTTTGTGTGAATTTTTATTAAGCTTTTATGTTTTTACAGGTAAATCAGTCTATTTTTGCCTTTGCATATTAGCTGTTAATATTTTATTCCATTGTCTGTCAGTTCTTCTGTGACTTTAATTCATCAACATATAATTAATTCTTCTACCTGAAATTCATTTTTGAGACAAATTGTGAATGTGAATTTTCCTGAATAGTCCTACTAAGTTTTTCCAGTTCTGTATCTGTATGTTATTTATCCTACAGAAACATAAATATGTATACACAAGGATATTCATAGCACTACTGTTCAAAATAGCAAAAACATGGAAGTAGCCTAGAACTAGGTAATGGTTGAATAAATTAGGACACATCTATATTAGAAAATACTGTATAACCATTAAAGGAAAAGTAGGTCTTTATATGTATGCTAGAAAGATGAAGACATTGTTCAGTGAGAAAAACAAATTGTGGGTTAATAGATACAGGGTAAATATATATTTATATGTGTGTGCATATATATGAAAAGGATCTGGGGGTTGGATGGGCAGATTGACTTTTAATTCAATATACTTATATTGTTGGGTTTCTGATAAAAACTGTAAAGTATAAACCCAAATGCAAGGGAATAGTTTATTTCTCTAAATAGGAAAGAGCCTAAGAAAAGCCTTGGACAATATTAATTTGGGGAGCTAGAGGTGAAACTGTCAAATTTCTATTTGTAATATGAATATGTTACTTTAATTACTTGCTGTTTACTTATTTTAAATGATAAGTAGTGTTTCCATTCACATTTTCTGAAGTGTTTTTGGACTCCTGTGCTTCTGCAGTGTGTCTTTACCATTGGAGCACGTTGGACTCAGTGACAGTGTTCAGAGCACGCCGTCTTCCCTCCCTCTAAGCTGTGCGAGATTCAGCTCCTGCTGTTTTGTTTTGTTTTGTTTTGTTTTAACTTTTAGGCTTTTAAAGATGTGTGTTTTCCAGTACTTATATAAACTAAAATTTTCAACTTTTAGAGTAAAACGCATTCTTCATTGTTGATAAGATTATTCCCAAATTGCAAAGCTTATGTTTTCCTCATGGATATTGATTATTTCATGTTTAATTCCTCCATAAATAATAGCCACATAATTCCAAAATAAGATTCTGTACAGTAAAAGGACTATCCCACACTGACTTACTATGCCCACATTTCCTCCTTACTCCAGATGGTAGCTTCATGTTGTTGTTCTAGAATTTTCTAATGCATATACAGGCAAATACAAACATATCTTAATTTTCCTCCTTTTCTAAATTTAAGGCAGATGGTACATACTCTGTTACACAGTTTGCTTTCATCCCCCTTTTTCTGTCTCAATGGTCTTTCTATGTCAGTACATTAACTATCTCCATATATATATATATATATATTTTTTGCACAGCTGGAAAATACTCCCTTGTACAAGTGTATCATCATTTATTTATAGTTATGGCACATTTAATATGCTATTGGGAATCTTTCCCCAAAACACAAGTACCTAGTTTCATTACAGTAATATTTAAAATGATTACAGTGCCTTTTCAGTACTTTATTCTAGTTCACTGAATCATGCTCTGTCCCAGCTCATTTAAATCTCACAACAGTCTGAGGAGGTAGGCTTGAGTATATCTCAGTTTTATAATTGAAGAAAGAAAGGAAAAAAATATTTAAAAAATTTTTTTCAGTACTGGGGATGGAACCCAGGGCCCTTATGCATGCCAGGCACATGTTCTACCACTGAGCTACACCCCCAGCCCAAAGAATGGCATGTGAAAGTCATAGTACATGCCATTAACATATCATGTCATTTTAAAACTCTCAGATAAATTAAGGTTACAGCATTAATATTTGGAATTTTATATGTTTAACATAAGCAAAGTCAGCAAACTTTTCCTGTACGTGGTCAGACAAGAAATAATTTTAGGCTTTGCTGGGCACTGCAGCCTTTCAACTCTTGCCTTTCTAGTGAAAGCAGCCACATACATTATATAAACAAATGAGAGTGGCTGGGTTTCAATAAAACTTTATTGACAAAAGGAGGTGTCTGGCCAGATTTGTCATTGCTGGCACAAGTAATTCAACAGCATCTTACTCCTGAGCCTATTAAAGTGCAGTTATCTAGTTCCCACTAGCCCCCTGGGCAAGCTCAGTCCTTGTGGCTGTGCTGCAGCCCATAGGCGTCTTTTTGGCCCACAGGCATCAGGACTTATGCTCTTTCACTGACATCTTTTAACCTGTATCACTTTCTCGTACTTTTTCCTGTTACTGTTAGCTCTTGAATAGCAGCGTGGTTTAATGTACTCTGCCTTTTTCTCTATCTTTGAAAATAAATACATATATTCCTTATATTATTGGCTTTAAGAGATTACAAAACAATACAGGTGAAGAGAAAAGTCAAGAATTGAGTTTGTTGTCTTGAGAGCTCTGGCTTAGCACACATAACTGCCTGTTTTTTCTTAATCAGGTTTGTTTTGACCCAGATATGGTCAAGTGGCCAACAGTATTTCCCTTACCCACTGGGGTTAGCCTGTTCCAAGATACTGATCAAGATTTCCCTGTTCTTAGCAGCATGTTGGTACAGTCAGCTCCCAGTGTGGATTTGGCGTGAGGGTGGGGGTTGGAAGCAGGGATCAAACTCCGGCCCTTGCTCTTATGAGGCAGGCAGCGGAACCACTGAGCTAAATCCCCAGACATCCCAGTGTGGATTTTTGATAAATTTGATCTAAAGAGGCAAAGCAAGTTTTACTTCTCACAGATGGGGAGCTTGTGAAAAGATCAGGGGGAGGGTCCCACCAGGTGTGCACCACTGGGATGGAAAGACGGTTGTCCTCACGCTGCTTTATCCGCTAGGAGGGCTGGGGCTGTTGACACGTCGCTCAGTTTCATTGCTTAATGTGCTTCTGAGATTCCAGCCATCTGTACCCTTAATACCGGCTAGCTTAGGAAGTAAGCAGCATTTCATGCAAGATATTGATAAAAGCATTGCCGCTGTAAAAGAGTGTCCTATTTGCCAAGCCAACCTGCATAACCTTAACAAAATAGGTATGTAGTTTTTGTTCTCCGGTTTCTGAGTTTTGCAGTAAGATCAGTATTCATACACTGCAGCAAAGCGCAGATTGTTAGTTTTTAGCTCAGACGTTCTCTCCGGTGCCGGAGCCCAGTTGAGCCAAGCGTCTCTTTCTCTTGCAGGCATGACAGCAAGTGCAGTTGCAGCTTTACTCCTCATGACATCCTCCATCGTGTCTGTCGTGGGGTCTTTGTACCTGGCCTACATTCTGTACTTTGTGCTGAAGGAGTTCTGCATCATCTGTGTCGGCACCTACGTGCTGAACTTCATTCTTCTCATTGTCAACTACAAACGACTAGTTTACTTGAACGAGGCCTGGAAGCGGCAGCTGCAGCCCAAGCAGGACTGACCACCTGACGAACCCTTCCTGACAGTCTGAAATCCCTTTCTCCATTAAGTTTATTTTGCAACAGTTTTGGTTTTAATTTTTCACAACAGACACTTTCCCTAAGAATCGTAAACTGATTTTTAAAAATATTGTAAATTAGACGGGGCCCTTGCTATTTTCTGTGTCAATCTTCATTTTAAATATGGCCACAAAAAAAGGATACGCTAAGCCAATCAAAGACAAGCTTTAACTTTACTTTGAAGGTGTTTCTGAAATAATAAAATGTAGCCCTAGCCCCCTTTCCTCAGTGAGCAACCATTGCTAGTAATTCTTTAATGTGTATAAAAATTCAATTTCAGGTATAACAAATGTGATCATGACATGAAAATATTTTAGAATAGATAACTATTAAATATTGCCATGTTTACAATATGTAATATGTTCTTAGCTGATGGATTGAAACATGTAGATTCAACTAGAATCCATTGATAGGACATTGTACATACAGGTAGAAATATTGGATCCATCTCTGCAGAACTTACTGTACAGTTTAGGTGAAGCGTAGCAACGAGGAATCGTCAGCTCGGCGCCGACTGATGAAGTAGTGAAAATAGCCCATACAGAGCGTCTTGTGAGAAGTACTGGCAGCCATGGGTGCGGCATCGACCGCAGCAATAACGGGGGTGGGTTCCCTCTCATCTCCTGGTTCTGAAGGAAGAAACTATCTTTGAACGTCCACCTCAAGTTGTGTCGTCATGAAACTGGATCAAGTGCAGCCTTACAGAATGAATCTGAAAACTTCAGGACACTGAAGTTGGGAAAACTCGTATATTCTTTGGGGGGATAAACTGGAAATATCAATATGGCATTTTTAGATAAAGGCTCTTACAATTAGTTGAATTTTCAGCGCATATATTGTTCCTTGATATTGGTGCCACTCAGCCAAACAGTATTATGATAATAACCATTATAAGCCCAGTTGCCCAAGTAGGACTGTTCTCTGGTACCGCCGGTGTTTTCCCTAATTGTTTCTTTCTGCACTAAGGATTGTTAGTAATTGTTTTAGAATCAAATATTGGATCTGTAAACTATAGGGCTGACACGCTGCTCTGTCTGTTCAGTCTGGAGAAGTCCTACCAGTAGAGGTATCCGAAGGTGAAACATAGACATGTCACTGCTGTTTCTGGCAGTAAGAATTTTTCAGGGTGATTTGAATAAACCCAAATGAAATTGTGACAGTATGTTTCTATGGTTAACATCTTCTATCAGAATGTTAAAAGTGCCTTCTGTCTTAAATCTCAAACCAAATATTTTGTGTATTGAACTTGGGCAGAAGTGTCCTTCCTTCCTTACCATGAAGCAGAAAACTCGCACTCTCCAGAAAGGTTCTGTGTGATCGTTTGATTCCTTAGACTAAGAAGTGGTAGCAGTGATTTTGCTTCCAATTAAGTCACTATGTTAAAAATAGTCAATTAGACTGGTAACTTTTGAGTGCGTTATCTGCCTTCTTTTTGAAGGGAGGAGACAGGCTCTGCTCTGTAAACTAAAACCTGAAGAAGTCAGCAGTTGTTCAGTAGTTTACAACCAACTATCATATAATTGACACATTGTAAGTCTTGTGGCCCCAGGCAGGTGTACAATCTGAATTGTCATGAATTTTTAATGGGTTTTAACCAGTTATTAAAAGATAGCTTAATTCAGATTTCATTGAGGCTTATGTTTTCCCATGAATGTGAATATTTCAATGCCTGTCTTACTCTGTATGTACTGTTCCTGTGTTCTGAAGTACTTAAAGAACTCTAGAAAGCACTGAACGTCTGGTGTATATGGAGAGACAAGTCCCCATGTTTGAGAACTGTACAGTAAGGTCCCCTTGTAACTGAGCACCCTGTTCTACCAAGGCTGTTGACTGGTTTTCTTTTCTAACTCAAGTGGAAATGGCTTAACAGTGGAGACTTCTATGATTTTATAAATTTCACAGTTGGGCTAAACAAGTTCCTTATGTCCCAATTTCAAATGTTCTTTGATCGCATTTTGTATTAATCAGCAGAGTATAGTTAAAGCTTGTCTTGATGTTGCATTCTTACAAATATCTACAACTCTTACATGAGAAAATTATGTACAAATGTTCAGCCAGACCCTTCAAATTTTTCCTTTGCTTTCCTAAGCCTTGGGGGAACCACTGTTTCAGTTATATAAAAACTTTTGCCACATTCCTGTGACCCAGTAGAATTCATACCCTTTTTCTCACGGAGAGATGAACAGGTGCTGCCTGAAATAACAGCATTTCCTGAAACGCCAGATCTCAGTAAACAGCAGAAAACCCTGTTGCTTGCTATTTGCTCTTTGCCCTGGAGGAATTTAGGCTCCCCCTGCACCTTCAGTTTTACCCCGAAGAGGGGGAAACACCTATGTTAAAAAACTTGAAGATTATTAGGATTATGTCAGACCCAGTGTTTAAATACTGCAGCATTGCTAGCCACTGTTGAACAGGTTGGGGGAAAGTTGGCTTTAGTAGTAACCGTGTGCTTCATGTCTCTGAAATGGTTCACAACAAATCAAGCCTCTTATTAAGTTATAAATATTTGAAGAAATAAGAGAAGTTATGGCTAGATGCTAAATTCTAGGGAGTCGAGGTGGCTTGGAGGATTTCTTTCCGTTTTTCATTGCAGCTAGTTGGTGTCAATAAGAGTGAAGTAACTCAGGTTTAACTAGCTGTGTGTCAGGAGTCACTCTGATTTGAACTATGTAGCCTTTCCTAAAATTCATTAATTTTGAAGAACACTAAAAGTATTAGCTGTTTTCATACAAAGAAACAAAGATTTTTCATTTGGTACAAAGGATCTTTGAACCTGCTAGAACTCTTTGTTGGCTTTTATTTGCTTGTTTTCGTTTATAATTATTCTCAAAAGACTATCCTTTAAAAAGTGTAAAGACATCTTGAGCAATTGCTTCGTAACTAGATGGGCTGGCTGCACTGCCTGATGTCAGTGAACTGACAGGTGGGCTCATCTGAAAAATCAGTGTTAGACAAACCCAAAGAGCCTGTCTCTCCCAGTTCCTGTCTGGGGCACCCAATACACAATACACCCAGTACACAACCTTTGTCCTGTGTTGTCCTCCAGCACACAAGTATTGGCAAAACGTTTCTACTGCGACATTGTGGGCAGCACTTATGAATCCCAATCTGTGAGAACTACCCTTCAGTAAAACAAAAGGGTAAGGGTAGGAGTCCCAGCTACTTGGTTTTAAACACTTCTTGGAAAATTTGCCCAGAAAAGGTGAAATGTTTTGTTATCAAACTGTATTGAGCATGGCCTAAATATTAGGTGTATGATCTGTATAGTACGTTCCATCAAAAATATTTATCATTAGTGCTTTAAGCTCCTGAATAAATGTTCATTTAAAATGGAATTCACTGGGCAGATTTCCCCTTTAATATAGATAGAAATATTCTTTATCAGAGATTTAGGATACCGTTTTGCTAACTGGTAAAAACAAATGTAAATATGTAAGAATGTTTATTTGTTGCACATAACTTTTTGGTATAAAATAAATGTAGAAGTTACCTGTGGAAATTGTTCTGCCATCATTCTTATACTACAGTATTTAGTTTTTAAAAAGCTGAAATGAAGTCTTTAGATTCCCTAAGAACCTTTAACGTATGTGAATACTGTAACATCATCTGTGCAGGGTAAGGGTGATTCTTTTCCTTTTCGGTCATGTGTGACTTAGAGAAGACAGACTTCTCAGAGACTAGTTCGTGGGGTTCCCGTGGGTTTGTAAAGTATGGTGGAGGTTAAGGATGAGTGGTAGAAGGTGTCAACTGCTTACACACAATGTTCTAGGCAGATGTTTTCCCACAGCTCTCCTTTACCTGGAGTACTCCTTCCTTACGGTCTTCTATAGAGGAATCCCTACTTCATGGAATAGAGCAAATGTATCCTGTGCTAGAACTTTAGGGCCTGTGATAGGGACTTAATCTTAATTTGTCAAACGTGTGTTTCTGTTACGTTTAATATTTTCAACATTTGCCAATGAGCTTTATATATCTATCATTGTCATTAATTTTTATGTTTGATTTTTTTTTAGACAGGGTCTTGCTGTATAGTCCAGGCTGGCCTTGAACTCACAGTGATCCTCCTGCTTCAGCCTCCCCCGTGTTGGGAATACATGAGTGCACCACGACACCCGGCCTATTCTTTGACATGAAACTGAACGCAATGCTTGATTACTTTGAAGAACTTAAGAGCTCAGTGGTAACCCGACATAGGGCTCCCCTAAGGTTCCTAACTATTTGAACTGACAGTTCTCATGCCTTAAAAAATGGTCTTATGGGGGTCAGGGATTTAGCTCAGTGGTTCCACCGCCTGCCTCACAAGGGCAAGGTCCCGAGTTTGACCCCCAGTACCAAAAATTTTAAAAAGGTCTTACGATTTCTAATAAGATTAGGCAAAATTATCTTTCCTTTTATGGAGCCTGGAAAGGAAGATCTAAGGCGGGATCAGTTGTGACCACAGGGATCAGACACAGAAGCAGGCTGCATTTCCCAAGGCGAGACTGATGGCGCACTGCCCAGCGGCGCCTGGGAGAGGAGAGGGCACGGGCAGGAGCAGCCGAGGCGGGCACAGGTTGGAGAGGCCGCCTCTCCCAGTCTGGCCCCTGGCCCTCTGTCCCCCTCCCACTCCCCGGCAGCATCTGCAAGTCTGAGCCCTGCCCAGCGACGGTGCTCTCGGCGTCTTGCTCTTCTGCACAGCCAGGTGTCCGGCTCGGGGACAGCCACATCACCAACTCTGTTCTCACACCGGAAAGCTTTATTGTCACTGTAACCCCGCTTCCAGCCCGCTGTGGCAAGGCCCAAGCCCGAGATGTCCGGAGCGAGCAGGCCTCGGCCTCGTGGTCAGCGGATGGCCTTGCACACATCGTGCCCCGTGGCGGGAGCCCTTGTCTCGTTGGCCAAGCGCCAGTACCGCTCCCGCAGCAGGAACGCTGCGCTCTTGGGCTGCCGCTGGCGGGTAAAGATCCCCTTTTTATTCCCTACAACTCGCTGCGGCGCTGAAAAACAAGGTGGAGGTGGTCACCCCATCGGACAACTGATGGCCCAACCTGGGCACTGCCTACAAGTGTCCTCTCGGAGTTTAGGGCACGGAGATTGAACCCAGGGCTTCTCAGTGAACTATATTCCCGCACCCACCCCTTAGTTTTTGAAACAGGTTTGCTATGTTGCACTACCACCCCCAGTTCTGGTGACTGTTCCTTACATGTTAATGTATTTAAATACCACTTCCTGGTGTGACTGATATCTTACACATTAAAGTGTGTAAATATCACTTTCTTGGTGGTATTTCCAGTCTGCTAGGGGGTAAAATTTAAGGATTTATCTTTTAGTTGCAAATAAGGCTTAAGAAATGGGTGCCCTGGACGGGGATTTAGCTTAGTGGTTCTGCCGCCTGCCTGGAAAGCTCAAGATCCGGAGTTCAATCCATGGTACAAAAATAAAAAAAGAAGAGGAGAGGGGGAGCGGGGGAAGATATGGGTGCCCAGCTGCCTAGTGATGGGGGTGGGCCAGTTACCCTAGCCTCTCACTGTGCAAAGCCAGGGTGCCCAGCCACAGAGCTGCCTGAGGTATTTCCAGACACTTTTAATTCTGTTTGCTAAGCAGAGGACAGGTTCCTGTCCTCATTCTTTTCTCTTCTTCCTCCCATCCAGTCTCTTTTTGTTGTTCATTTATCCCCTTTCCATTCAAATTTGTGATTAACACTTTAACCTTTCATAGGCCTGTCTCTTGAAAATAATATGCTGGAATTCCCATGCTATATCCCATTCCACTCCCCAAAACCGTCATCCTAAGTTTCCAGGGACCTACCTCAATGGTAAGTCAAGAAACTAGAAGTCTTAAGCCGGATGTGGTGGGGCACGCCTGTAATCCCAGCCCTCTGAGAGGCTGAGGCAGGAGAATCCCAAATTCAAGCCTCGCCTGGGCAATTTAGGGAGACTGCCTCAAAATTATAAAAGGGCTGGGGATATACCTCAGTGCAAAGGCCTTGGGCTTAATTTCTAACACCAGGAAGAAATAAAACAATGCTAGAAATCTAGAGGTGGAGAAAGCAGGAAACACTGCTAGAACTTAACTGGAGTGGCTCTTAACTGTCCCCACTTGAGAAAACTAGAACACTCCCACATTCAGGTGCTTTGGGACTCACCTGTTTTTCAGTGAGCCTGCTTTTTCCAGTGAGTAACAACAGACTGCACTGTCTTGTGTTTCTCAGGCACTGTTCCCTACTCTGGATAACGGGTATCTCTCAAGTCCAGTCTGAGGCCCCACTGTCCCCCTCACCCTCTTGTGAAACAGACCTAGGCCAAACCTAGGCAAGCCAGCCACTCGCGCCTCGGGACAGGTGACGCATTCACTGGAGACAGGTTCTCACTAGGTCACCCAGTCCGCCCTCTCCTCCATCTTCCTTGCCTCAGCTTCCTGAGCAGTGGGGTTACAGGTGTGTGCCAGCCACCACACCCAGCTCCCATTTGCTTTTTGCCATAAAATTATTTGGGAAGCGTGATTGTTTTGCTTTCTGTTTGGTACCAAGGATCGAACTCAGGACCTTAAGCTTGCGAAGCAGGTGACGGAACCACTGAGCTAAATCCCTGGCCCTGCTTTGCTGTTACCAAGCACAACTTTTCCTGGGAAATTCTTTGCAGCTTACACTGTTTACACCATTTTCTAAACTTTGATTTTGCAGTATTCTTACAGCCAGATGCCCAGAACTGAAAAACTCCTAAACGGTACACGATCCCTTGGTCAAATTGCCACTTACTCTGGTTAGTCATGAAATCAGCAAAATTCCAGATGAGCTCTCCAACCACGTACTCTTTGCGTTTTTCATCCAGAACCGAGTGATACCGTGCTAGCAGGCTCTTCTGGTACTCCTCACTGAACATCAGAGGTGGGTCCTGGGGTCAAGACAAACAGAACTGCAGTCAAAACTGGCAGGACTGTAAATGTTAGATAAAAACAACATCACTTGCTGATGACTAAGCTACCTGTCCTCACCGTGGGCTGTGGGAACTGCGGGGTTTGCTGTGGTCATGCACAGAAAGCCACAGGAGTATGTAACCCATGGTAAAAAAAAAAAGTACTTGTAAAAAAACTTAGTAACATTTATAAACCTGGTTTGATACATCTTTTTTTTGGTACCAGAGATCAAACTCAGGTCCTTGAGCTTGCAAGGCAGGCAGCGGAACCACTGAGCTAAATCCCCAGCCCAATGCATCTTTATCTTATCCTCCATCTCTCTCCAGTTTGTTTGTTTGTTTGTTTTTTGAGATAGGATCTCACTATGTAGTTGAGACAGAGCTAGAATTTACTATGTAGCCCAGCAGGCTGGTCTCGAACTCACAGTGATCCTCCTGCCTCAGCCTCCTGAGTGCTGGGATTACAGGTGTGTGCCACCACACCCAGCTCTCTCCAGTCTTAAAGCAAAACTACACTGAGTAAAAATACATCTTTGCCCCAGGCTTCAGGTAGCTGCTAGTGCATGATTTGCAAAGTGGTGTAGCTCAGAACTCATTGGACAGGTGACCTCGTATCTGCCCCCCACCAGGCTCTGAGATAAATGACAGTCGAGGGACGCGATCCATCCAGGGCTTTACCCTGCAGCAGGCAGATGCACCAGCAGAGCACAGCCAGTGTGAACAGTGATAGCGCGGAGGCGTGGGGACAGCCAGTAGGGCAACCTTGTAGTCAGGGGCAGAGGACAAAACCCTGCTGGCTCCACCTCCTTCCCAGTGAGGACTACGATGCTCCATGATTTGCACCGGAAATACAATAACTGCACAGGGGAGGCGCCTTTTGATCCAGTTCTGAGTTGGAACAGAGGCAGGGCCAGATGGAGATTTCCTTGCTTTTCACGATGGACCTGCCTGCCTGAACACAGAAGCTACTAGTCACGTGTCACTTTAAATTTTGGACTAAGAGTCAGTTATTGCAATTGTGCCCCAAGTCCTCAGTGGCCACACGTGGCCAAGCTAGTCACTGTCACAGGACAGTGCAGACAGGGGACATGTTCATCGCCACAGAGGGCAAAATAGCACTGACTTAGATGTAGATGCTTTGAGACAGTCTCTCAAACATTCAGTCAACTACCTTTCTAAGGGGTGGCACAACCTCGTATGTCCATGGATGTGTCCCCTACTTTATTAGTCAAGAGAAGAGGCATTCTGGGCAAACGAGGTGAACGTGACAATGTGGTACAGACAGTCCTCATGTCTAGCCGAGTCCCGCTGCTGCGACAGGTCACTAAATGAGGAACTATAGATAGCATGTGCAATATTCAGAGCAAAAAACATGGGAAAAGGCAACTCCAGCTTGATGTCTGCTTTTCTCCGCCTGACTCTTCCATGCAGTACTGTGATGTAAAACAGAACATAGAGCTACAGGACTGCACTGTGCAGTACAGTTGGGAAAGCTTTCAGCACAGTATAAACAAGGTGTACTGCACAAAACAAGCCACTGAGGCTCTATACAAGATGTGCAGGAC